AAACGAAGAACGAATTAGGGGAGAGAGAGAGAGAGAGAGAGAGAGAGAGAGAGAGAGACACAAAACGTGTTTTATTAAGACGCTGATACATTTCAGAGAACACACGATTGTGTGTGTGTGTGGTGGTCACACGCATAAGCGCGTGTTATAAAACTTTGTTATCCAATTATATTTTATAAGAAGTAAAGGTGTATAGTTGTGGAAGGAAAATATATCAAGATAATCCAACACTATCGTATTTTAATTTAAAATAATTATTATGTAAGAACAATTAAAATAAAGAGACGGAGAAGGAAATTAAGAGACGCGAATAATTTTGCCATGTCGCGACGAGTTAAAAGTCAGTCGACGGTCCGTCTTTGCGGAAACACGCGATATCCTCGCAAAGTACGCGGAAGGAGAAGAAGAACGTAGGCGCGAGACAGAGACGGAGACGGGGACGAAGAATAAAGACAGTTAAACGCGTCGTAGTCGGAGACAACCGAGCTTGGTCGAGGCCGGCCGAGAATGGAGAATCCGCGGACTACAGTCTCCGAAAGCGCGCAGCGGTATTCGCGCCGCGCGAGCTAGCGAATGCGTGCTCGCTTGGGCTTGTGTTGTTCGTTTTGTACCTCGCGCGGCGTGACTACTCCGTCGCGTTGATTACGCAACGCGTGGCCATGAGAGCGACTTGCGCTCGCGAGAATGCAGCGTCCGCTCGTCGCAGGATTGGCGCGATTATCGATATCTCGTCATGCTTACAATAACAAATCGGAAGGCGCGTCCAACTCTTCGATCCAGCCGATTGGTTATCGTTGAATTTTTTCATTATTTTTCATTAAATAATATGAAATAATTACATATATTACATGCATGTGCTTGTAATGTGTATTACGTATGTAGCATCGCGAATTTTAAAACTTGACAGTTACGTAATATTTCTCGCAGCTAGCAGCTGTTACTACGCGATAATTTTTTAGCCTCGATGTTTATGCAGATTGAAAGAGGGTTGTATGCTGAAATATACAACTCTCGACGGCATTGGTTGAGAATCGCTGATCTAGCGTAAACGTGCGAGGTTCGTTATGCGCGCGTGCACGCACACGCGTGTAGGCGTGCGTGCATGGCGCGCGATGACTCGTAGGATGAGCGTGCAAAGGCGTATATCTCGTCTAGAGATTTATGTATAGCCAATATTGGGAAGCGAGAACAGCCCGTTTCAACATGTTATGTAAATGAATGTACAATGTCAACAGGAAATATCGCTGTTGTGAAATGGAAAAACATTTCGATAGTTATTTTCACACTTACGAATGAGATGGTATAATCATATTAATACGAGGAAATAACAATCATTTATTTTCTTTTTTGTCATTCGATCGAGCTCGCGGAAAATGGATTAATCGAGCAGCGACCATCAGAGCAAGATTATATCGTATTTGCATACCTACTTACGTGGGTAGTAATTATAGCGCGATTTTTATTTACGTCATTTCAACACGCGGCCTGAAGAAATGTTTCCCTGGAAACTTTTATATTCGAATCAGTGACGTGCCAAGAGGATAACCGTGAGAAATAATGTTACCAATCAAAATATACATAAGTTATAATAAAACAATTATTTTGATTTTAATTCAAATTACAAAAATAATTATAGATAACTATGACTATATAAATGATGCCATTGTCACATTTATTTTATTTGACATAAAATAATTAAAATTTTTTTAACAATCTTGCCATTGTTGAATCCATATACTTTGGAGTTTTTCTGCACGCGCGCGCACACACACATACATGCGCGCGTGTTTCATGAAAAAAGGAGAAAAAGGCCGCGCTCATCATCGCGTGAGTATCGGAGCGACTAAGTAAATACGAGAACGAAAGAGCCTCCGACATTCGGCGGTGCCGGTTTTTATCTGTGTGCGCTACGTTTCGGAGAACACAGTTGTGTACACTGTCATGGTCTTCATTTATGTCTGCCAGCAAGTCCTCCTCACGTCAGGTTCCTTCTCCTTCTGGCGAAAATCAAGACATCAATACTCTTATAATAGCGGTGTGTGTCGTGATAAACTTGATATAAAATATATGGATGGATATTAACGTCGAGCTTTTTTTAGTATTAAACATATTTCAATTATGTCACTAGCAATGCCAGTATTTTTGAAACTTGATATCCCGAGTAGTATCGATGCTCTCTTGAAACTTGCGATAATATGAGATTAAAGAGGGAATTCTAAAAAAAAATTTAATCTGAACTTTTGACTACAACGATACGAGAGCTTGCGAGAGTATGATAGAATTTATTTGTGTTAATTTTGCACGGCTTATATTATTGATTGACGCTTTTCATGGAGTTTATATCTGTCGCTATTTTTCGCTCACAAAATCAGATTTCGGATAACGCGAAAATCAATTTATCACATGAGCGATTAACAATTAAAATTCAGCCAAATGTGTAATAAGTGAATAATGAAATTTATTTATTTTCTTATTACATATCTTGCTGAATTTTAGTTATTAATCGCTCATGCGACCAATTGATTTTCGCGATAATATTATCACGCGTGTGAGAGATTTTATTAAAATTATCGCGAGCAAAAAGAAAAAAGATTAATATTTCGAAAATCAAGCATCAGGAGCAGCAGGGCTATGTATGTATTTCTTATCGCGAAATTTATAAACAAATGAATCAATTTTGTGTCATACAATTTTTTTTTTTTTGGTATTTTTTGCACACAAGATAAAATTGAAGAGATATTGCCTATCGTAGAATTAATTAATTCGATATCGAGGTATCGCGAGCATGTTGGTGCGTTACGATGCGATTGTTTCGTTACGCACTTGGCCGCGTAATACGATCTCGCCGCGGGCGTTTTCCGCTTTCGCGGGCTAATTGATCTCCCCGAATGTTATAACATAATTCAATGTTCTCGATGGAGTCGTCGATCGCGATCGTTAAAGGTCGACTTCTCTTTCTCCCCTCTCTTACTCCTTCTTCTTCTCCTCCTTTCTCTCTTTCTCTCTCGAGCACCGCCTTTACCTCCTCGCCTCGCCATGGTGTCGGCTGCCATTCATCGTGAAAACCGTACGTACATTCGCGCTCTGGTCACCGACAAGGTCCCGCAAGGTCGCGCAACCATCTTGCATCCATACGCCACGTGCAACGGTGCGTGTGCGCGATGCAGGTGAACGATATCGCGCACGATTCGAACAAAATAAGATCATATTGCGAATTTCGTTAATTCTATAATAATTCATTTTCACAGTTATTTTCTCATCTCTGAATTAAATTGATTTTTAATTTATCGTTAAGTAACTAAATCTTTATCAGATCGAATTTTTCTTTCTTTTGTTTATGAGAGCGCTTTATTTCACGGATTAGAACTTGCCGTTTTATCTTTGCACATGCAACCGTCTACATATATATGGCGTGATTTGCGCGCGAAAGCGGGTCCCGGTATCGATCCGAATGCGTAGAAAATGCTATTGATTCCCTCGGCCGACCCGACGACCTCTTTCCTCCATGGCGACGATTCGAGAGGAGAGACCGAGATCTGTCCTCTTTTGATCGTTATTTTAATCTTGTTATTATATTACAATATTACAAAAATATTATTTAAAATATATTGTATATAGTCATTGTATTGCATACAATATGAATTAAATATGTCAGTAAAAAGAAAGATTAAAAGCAAAAACTGTAAATAAAATCTTAATAATGAAAATGGATGACAATATTTTATTTTGATAGAGCGTCTTTCGATGACTTGTTTTTCTTCGTAGACGTGAAATATCATATACGTGATGACTTATTGTGATTGGAAGGGGTGAAAGAAGAGAATTGCATAAAAGATACATACGAACCGAATGAATCGTCTATTCGCTCTCTGTCTACATTCTCCAGGGTCGTACACCCACGTCTAGTCTCCATCGTATTCTCGTCCTTTCTTAGAATCGTCTTTGTAACTTTTGATGCTCAAGACACCTGCTTTGATGGCTTTCATATATTTAACAAAAAAAAAAAAAAAACATTAATGCAAAATGCTTTGAAAATACATTATTTTTTAACGTTTAATATTAGTAAAAAATTATACACATATATTAAATTTGTGATATATAAATATATTTGTGTGGAAAATGCTTGTGTTTAATTACGAGATAAACTTTTGATTGAGTCACAATTAAGATGGAAGAAAATTAGAGATTTAAGAGAGAGAGGATACACTGCTTCACGATACTAATCATTACTATAATTCTGTTGCAGGTCACGAGTAAGACGGACACGATAATTCTTGGCCGATGAAGAGCAGAGCAGCACGAGGACGAGTAGTAGAAGGAGCAGCAGCACGAGCAAGAGCAAGTGGCTTTGTCATCGTAGAAGGTGGTGGCGCCGTGGAGAAGCAAAAGAAGAAACGAGGACGAAGTGGCGGCAGCAGTGGCAACGGCGACAATACGGCGACGAACAGCCAAGTCCCCCCATGTTAGCGGACATCAACGGCAACCTGGCGGATCTGAGAAGCGAAGCGATGGCGTCGCAGAGGTTCTGTTTGCGCTGGAACAATCACCAGAGCAATCTGCTTTCCGTCTTCGACCAGCTGTTGCACGACGAGTCGTTCGTCGATGTCACGCTGGCCGTTGAGGGCCAATTACTCAGGGCGCATAAGATGGTGCTGTCGGCATGTAGCCCCTATTTTCAGGTAAACCCCATTTCTTTCTATGATTATCCTTTTTTAAGATTAACATTGAAACAAATAAATGATAGCGAGAAATTACCATCAATTATTTATAATTTTGTGATAAAGAGTCAATATCTTCAATAAATCATAATTGAATTTTATTCATATTAATATCGGCAATTTTTTTTAGAAAGACAGATTGCAATGCAAAACTATCACTTGCCTTTTTTTTTTTTTTTTTTGAAAGGATTAACATGTTTAACTGATATGATAAATATTCTTATTTGTAGGCCTTGTTTGTTGGCCATCCCGATAAGCACCCGATAGTCATTCTCAAGGATGTTCCGTATGTGGACATGCGCAGCCTTTTGGACTTTATGTACCGCGGCGAGGTAAGCGTCGACCAAGACCGACTGACCGCCTTTCTACGAGTCGCCGAGTCCCTAAGGATAAAAGGCCTGACCGAAGTGAACGAGGATAAATGTGATCTACCAAGTATCACATCCTCGCTATTGGGTAGCGGTCAGAACACGGTGGCGCCGCCGCCGCCCAATCTTCATCGGATCAACCAAATCGGTCAACATCATCACCATGTCGCGCAGAAGAGGTTCCATCATATGTCCAGCCATCCGTTACTCGGCTCTGCACTTACGGCGCCCAAGAGAAAACGCGGTAGACCTAGGAAGTTGAGCGGCTCATCGGACACGCCGATTGGTGAAATCGGTGGCCAAGACTTACAATCCTGTTCGGGCGCCGATTTGGTACAAGGTTCACCTGAAATGATGGAAATGAAGATGGGGCTGGACTTTCAGAGCGAGGTTAGCGGCAACAGTAACATCAGGAGTGGCACCAACACCGCCAACAGCGTTGGTGGCAATTCCGCGGCGGGCGCTAATAATTCCGCCGCCGGTACAGCCTCCTCAGGATCGTCGTCGACGAGGAGAGACGAGCCTACGGAGAATGGCACCGATACGCCAGAGCCGCCAGTCACGCGGGTTAAACGGGAACCAGAACCGACACCCAGCACCTCGGCGCAAGGTAAGAGGCGAAACGAAATACGTGATATGAGATCGAATAAAAAAAAAAAAAACTCTAAACTGATTCGTCATTATTGATTCTAGCCTCGGATGAGACATTCGCGCGGCCGCACAGTAGACAAGGGAGTGAAGGTTTCAAGCAAGGTAAGATTTTCAGAGCGTACTTGACTTCGATATAGAAGCGTTGCATTGCTAATACTCCCTGATAAAACGGAACGCAAAACGGCAGTTTAAACCCTTACGCGATTTTCGTGAACGAGCGTTTCATAGATATTGTAGTATAATATCTTTCAAACAAAAACCACGTTTGGAAATTGTAATTAATTAAATGATCGGTTATGCAATTTTTGTGCGCAATCAATATCATAATTAATAGTATAGTCTTTATAACAGATATTATAGAGATTAACTTCTTTAGATTTGTGGTTGCATATATTTCTGGTTTTACTCCTGTGATTATAATCGTTGATTTTGAGAATGCACTCGCGAAAATTACACAAGGTAAGTCGCAAGGTGTAGCACAGAATGCAACATGCGCCTGAAGGTTAAATCGTGTTTTAAAAAGACCACATAGTTTCGCGAAATAGTTTTGCAAAAAGTCGCAATAATAACGCAGAATGAAATCGCGCATTTAATCGCGATACCCTACCAAATATGTCTTAGCATGGTGTGAATTGTGATTCCCATAACGCGCGAGCGCGAAGAAGAATGTTAGATTATCTCGACAATGTTTCTTTTTTGAAATTAAATCTAACATGCTGATTATATAATTAATGGTTACTTATCAATAATGACAATTTTTCAAATATTAATAACTATAAAATTAAGAGAATTATAGAAATTGTAATGCTAAATTTACAATTGTGTCGTGTCAAACATTCTTCTGCGTGCGAACCCGAAAGACGGGGAAGAACTCGCTTTTGTGACGTCCGAATGCTTATTCGTCTCTTGTGAAGCCCCGAGGAGCAAGCAAGCAAGCGAACCTTGCGTGGCATTATGGACGACGCTGTAGACTCTCTACGTGAGAACGACTCTTACGGCTCTCTCGCACGATTCGTCGAGGTCGATCGACGACGTCTGAGAATTTCAGAATTTTAAAAGCCCAATCCGCGAGGGTGATCGATAACTTTGATTATCCAAATTTCGAGATTTGCGTCGCAACGACGCTAGCTAGCGCGAATCCAACTTTTATCATGCACGTTGTCCACGTGGACGATGTTTTATCCTTTATGTGCTAATGAATTTGACTTTTCAGACTTCTCTCGAGCTGCCTTGCCGCGGCTCATTGTCGCTCTTCTGCAAGTGCGCTCTTTCCTTTTTTTTTTTTTTTTTTTGGGGTTTCTTATACTTCGCAAAATATTACTGCATAGTGATTGTGTGATCATGTGAATCTTAAAATATCGAAGCTTATTTGATGGCATAAAGAGATTTTTTATTCATATGAGAATATTATACGAGAGAAAAGTAACATAACTTTCATAAAAGTCACTGTGATCAAACGTAAAAAAAAAAAAAATTTAACTCCGCAATATTTTTTAATAACGTACTTATCTAATAAATCCAAGCAAAATTGCATTAAGATATATATGTAATCAATGTGTGAATAATTACGAAATACTTATTATGTAATAATTGTATCCTACAACGCCCGCTCGTTTACATGACATACATAATCCACAATGTTATCGATGTTTTACAAACTATCGCTTTTATGGTACTTGAGCGAAATTGCCCATTAAATCACGATCGGTTTTGCCGTTTTTTGTCCAGCCATGTATCCCCTTCACCTTATCCTTCTTGTTTCGTCACTCGCGCGATCTCTCGACCCACAAATCTCGCTGTCGGATCGCAAGTCTACGGGAGGGAAACGTGGCATGTCGAAGCGATTTCCGCGTGTTCCGACAAACAATTTGTTTGTCGCAAGGAGCGGACAGAAGCGGACGAAATTCGGAGATAGGGACGGACTCCCCTTGCGTTCTCTTGTCGGACGGGCTTCTTTTCGATACCCTTCGTCGTGCGGAGACTTAACGAGACCGCGAAATAAATCAGTTCTCCGACGAGAATGCGCTCTTTCCCCCCCTCGTCTCTTCTCACCGAGTACATTTCGTTTCCTGCCTCCTTTCTAGCCCATGGCGCACAGAAGCAATCGTTGCCAGAGAGTAACTTGTGCACGAGGATTAAGAATTTTTTCGGCTGTTTTGCCGACGAAAATGCATTATAGTATCGCTGTTTTTTTTCTCAAAAATGAATAAAATTATAAAAATAGATATACATAATTGTTAATTAGTTTTGTGTTATCAACTGAGAATTATTAGTTTGATAAACAAGCGTTCTATCGAGAAAGAGTTCTTAAACAAAAATGATTCCGAAACATTCCTTCATCTATGTATTCGCTGACAAAAAAGTTTTTCTGTTGTTCCGAAAGTTCTATCTTTGTTTAACTAGACCGTTACATTGTACAATTTATCGTTATTATGAGAAATTCGCAAGAACCTTGAAACCTCAACAGGATGCGATCGGCATAGCTAGTTGAGTCTGCTCGAATAAGAAAAACTCGGCGAGTATAAAAGTTGCTTTATATTTTATA